CTCTATCTCTGCACTGTATCTATCTATCGATCTATCTGTATATCATATCTATCTATCTATCTCTCTCTATCTATCTATCTACCTACCTACCTACCTACCTACCTACCTACCTACCTACCTACCTATCCATCTATCCCTCCGTCCTATCTATCTATCACCTGTCATCCTTTGAGTATCTGTCTGTCTTTCTGTCTATGTACCTGCCTATGTATTTTTCCATCCGTCTATCTATCTGTCTGCCTATACAGACCACCCTCTTTCAATGTATTCAACGCTTCTTTGGAAGTGGATGAGAACCGAGGATTTGCAAGCAGGCAAGCGCGCGCCCGGCTCTCTGGCAGCCCGTGCTGCGGGCTGAGGGGGCGGCCGGGCCTGCTGGAACTCAGGGTTTCATGGAAGTCTAGGGCCTAGGGTATTTAATATAGGGGCCTTAATAAATAGAATAGGGTTTTGGGGCCCATTGTACTACAATTATAACAAGTAACCCCCCTGAAATAGTATTGGTATAATTATTTAGGCCCCTACATCAGGGCCTTTTGGGACTTTAGGACTTGGGGTTCCAGGTCCGCTTTTGGGGGGGAGGACAAAACGGGGCCTGAGCAAAGGAATCATCAAGTGTGGGGGTTCCCTAAAGTTGCCACATCTAGTCAGATTATTTAGTTGTGCCTTTGTTCGGGAAAGTGGGATCGACACAGCCCTGGCTTGAGCAGCTCGGCCGAGGTGGTGACTTTGCTTGACAGGCCTGGGGAGGCCTGAGCCGCGACAGCGCTCGGATTTGATAAGTCTTGCGTGTGACAACAATAATTAGAATAGGGTTTTGGGGCCCAGTGTACTATAATAATATATAATACTACTACTACTACTAGTACCTACTACTACTACTACTACTACTACTACTACTACTACTGTAGTGGGTGACAAACTACTACTACTACTACTACTAATAATAATAATAATAGTAATAATAATAATAATAATCATAATCATAATCATAATCATAATCATGATCATAATCATAATCATAATAATAATAATAATAATCAGGAACCCATCGGCTTTGGAGTTCAGGGTTTCCCCGTCACTGGCCAGGTGCCGATCATCACGATCTGCTGCGACATGCCAGGGGCCCAATTCGCTCTGACAGCGCAGTGACTATGCCGATGACGGTCGGACTAGATGCGGCATGGAGACAAGATAGACGGAGGTAGACTTGAGCTCAAGTTGCTTCCCCACCCAATCTCCTACTAGTAGATGCAGTGGGCATCACCCGGTCTCTTGCGGATTATCTCCAAGGTCAGGGGAGCTCTTTGCGATGTCGTTTTACAACACTGAGTTTCAGAAGCTGCAGCAGGCCAGGCCCCCCAGGGTCGGGCCTCGAAGCTTTCGTCTAAATCCACAGAGACCTGGGTCCAAAACAACAACACCAGACATTTGACTACGGCGGAGCGATTGGGGCCTGGGCTCCATGAAGCCCGAAGCCTCAAAACTTGAGACAGGCGATAGTCCCCTGCAAGACAGTTCTGGCAGCCGGAGCCCCAGGGTTTCAAAGGGGGTCCAAACTCAGTGACGATTCTGTCGCGCTTCTTTTGTTTTGTTCTCTTGCATGATAATTAGGTCATAAGTTCCCCTGAGAGGAATCAATGACAACGCATCCTCACCCTCACGTGGCCCCCATGTGCCCTGTCCTCGCCTGGCTTGCGCGAGCATTTGTGTGAACCAGGCCAAGAAGCAGCCGTTTTGGCTCCAGCAATTTGAACTGTCCGTGCCCCCTACCTTGCTGCCCTCCGTTGCTCCGTTGCCATGGCGGCCCCATCAGACATGCTTCGGGACTTTGAGATGCTGCGCGCGCACCTCATGGCGGTGCTCCGCGCCCATGAGCAGGGCAGCGAGAGGGTTGGCTCTCCCCGATCGGCTTGGACCGGTGATGCAGCCGGTGAGAGTGAAGGCCCGACGATTTTGCCGAAGAGCGTCCTTGGCCTTATGGACCTGATTGAAGAGTATGGCTTGAAGGGACAAGCAGTCTTCCAAAAGATCGCCGACTACGTTGCCAAGATGACGCCCAGTGAGATGCAGGTTGCTGGTCGCGTTCTCATGGATACGTCGCTCCAGGCAGACTTGGCAGAGTCCCACCACCGTCTCCGCGAGACCAAAGCGGTGGTTTCGCATGAGGACGACCAGAGCGATCTCGCCAGCCGCACCTGGAAGTTCCTCATGAAGAAGATGGTGGCAGAAGGTGTGAAGCCCGAGAAGATCCGCGAGGCTTTGGCCAATCAGAAGATTGAGCTGGTCTTGACTGCGCACCCCACGGAAGCCCAAAGGCGAAGTGCTCTGAAGAAGCACGAGGACATGCTGACCTACTTGCAAAGGTACGACGGCAAAGACTCGCTCACACCAGGACAGCTGCAAGGCCTGGATGATGACATCAAGGCCGTGCAGTGGAGTTGCTGGCGCACGAACACGGTGCGACGCACCAGGCCCACTCCGGAGGGAGAGGCGCGCAATGGCATGCTGGTGATCGAGGACACTGTTTGGAAGGCGGTGCCGGAGTACTACCGCCGCATCGACCGCTGCTTGAGGCGAATTGGCCAACCTCAACTTCCTTATGGTGCATCGATTCTGAAGATGAGCAGCTGGATGGGAGGAGATCGTGATGGCAATCCCAATGTGACTTGGCACACGACCAAGCAAGTGGTGACATTGCTTCGCTGGCGCATTGTGGAGCTCTACTACCGCGAGGTGGATGAGTTGCTCTACGAGCTGAGCATGACTGGAGAGACCAGTGAGGAGCTTCAGCGAGAGATCGAGGCTGTAAGCAGCATGTGGTCGGCCCCGACGGTGCCCGGAGGCAAGGTTTGCCGCCCTGACGCGCGCAGTGGCGTGCACTGGAACTTCCACACGGGTGTGGCTGCCGACGAGCCCTACCGAAGGCTTCTGATGGCCTTGCGCAGGCGATGCTGGCGAACGAAGAAGACGATGGAGGCCATGTACATGGGCAGCGACCCGGAGCCAGACTTCGAGAAGGAGGTTCTCACCTCCGTGGACGAGCTGGCTCGGCCACTGGAGATTATCTACCGCTCTTTGGTGGAGAGTGGCGATGAGGCGGTGGCCAACGGCCGACTTTTAGATCTCATCCGCCGCGTCCGCACCTTTGGCATCAGCATGGCTTGCTTGGACGTGCGCCAGGAAAGTGACCGTCACTCCGAGGCTTTGGAGGCGATCACCGAGTTCCTGGGCCTGGGGAAGTACACTTCCTGGTCCGAGCAAGAGAAATGCGACTGGCTCGTGAAGGAGATCGAGTCGAAGAGGCCTCTCTTGCCCGAGGATCTCGAATGCAGCGACATCGTCAAGGAAGTCTTGGCCACCTACAAGACCATCTCTGAGTTGCCCATCGAGGCCTTGGGCGCCTACTGCATCTCCATGTCCCGGGCTACTTCGGATGTCCTGGCTGTGTGCTTGTTGCAGAAGATCGGAGGCATGAAGAAGTTTATGCGCGTCAGCCCCCTCTTCGAGACCCGCGATGACTTGATCAATGCCCCCAAGGTGATCGACGCCGCCTTTAGCGTGCCATGGTACAAGAAGCACATTCAGGGCAGCCAGGAGGTCATGCTGGGCTACTCCGACTCCGTGAAGGATGCAGGAAAGTTTGCCTCTACCTGGGAACTGCATGTGGCGATGGAGAAGATCCTGGAGGTCGGCAAGAAGCATGGTGTCAACGTGACTTTCTTCCATGGCCGCGGTGGCTCCATCGGACGTGGAGGTGGCCCTCCTCACCTGACTCTCCTGGCCCAGCCTGCAGGCTCCCTGGAGCGAGGCCACCTGCGCCTGACCATCCAAGGCGAGACCATTGGCCGGCACTTTGCGAGTGCCGAGGTGGCCGAAAGGACGCTGGAGCGGTACTCCACGGCTGTGCTGAAGCACACCCTCACCCCTCCGCCGCTCCCAAGCCCGGAGTTCCGAGCAGCCATGCAGGAACTGGCCGACATCTCCGCGGAAGAGTACCAGAAGACCGTGTTCAAGAGCGAGAACGATATCTTCGTCCGCTTCTTCCACACCTACACCCCCACCTCCGAGCTCGGACAGATGAACATCGGAAGCCGCCCCGCCAAGCGCAGGGCCTTCGGAGGCATCGACACGCTCCGGGCCATTCCGTGGATCTTTGCCTGGACCCAGACTCGATTGCTTTTGCCGGTCTGGCTCGGCAACGGCCTCGCTCTGCAGAAGTACATCGATGCTGGCAAGCTGCCCTTGCTGCAGCAGATGTACAAGGAGTGGCCTATGTTCCAGTCCATGATGGACTTGATTGACATCGAGCTCGGAAAGGCCCAGCCGGACCTGGCCAAGCACTACGAGACCAAGACCTTGAAGGAAGACGACCTGAAGAACTTGGCCCAGCATCTGCGCGACGGTCTTCAGCAAGCCATCACCAACGTCCTCAAGGTCAAGAACATCGACAAGCTGCTCACCAAGGACCCCATTGTGAAGCAGTCCATCGCCATGCGCCGGCCTTTCCTCGACATCTCGCACGTGATCCAGGCCGAGGTGCTCCAGAGGCTCCGAGATGCCCAGGCCAAGGATGAGGAGCCGCCAAAGGAGCTGAGGGATGCCATGATCATCTCCATCCAGGCCCCGCGCTTCCTCTTAGAGTCTTTTCGACCAGGGAACCAGACACCTACTCTCATCGCTGCAATTATGCTTTTTCCTCGTTTTTTTAAAGACCTTATTGCCCATGCACTGCATCCAGGCCATCGCCGCCGGCATGCAGAACACCGGCTGAGGAAGGAGGAAGACTCGAGTGTTAACGGGGCGGGTCTGGAGGGCCTCGCCATTTACTCGTAGCCTTTTCCCAATAAAAATTCAGTAGCGGGCCATTGAAGACACTGGTCCTGAGTCTAGTTTTTCGATTAATGTGCATATTTTGCGTCTCCGTGGCTGGGTGTGGAAAGCCATTTATTTTTCCAGGTTGGCTGGGTGGAGCCCAGATTCATGGAGATGTCCCGCCGTGGGCTCTGGCTGTTACCGGCCGTTTAAGAGACTTTTCCTCCAGCAGCAGCGGCAGGAAGTAGACAGGCAGCAACAGTAGTGATGGTGTGTTTGTCAAGAGTAACCTTAGTTGAGTCTTTTGCTAATTACTTGCCGGCTGGCTTGCGCTGTGAAGCCACAGGGATGATCAGCCTTAGCGCAACGAGTTGGGTCAAGCTGTGTTTATTGTAGTTCCAATGCGTTGTGTATTGATGGCTTCCCAGCTGGTGCACATCCTGAAAAAGGCACACAAAAGCTGAGTGTAATTCACGTGTGACTGTCTCTCTTCGGCTCTGGTGGAGGTCAAACAGGTGTAGGGCTCACGGCTTCTGGGTGCAAAGGAGGGGTCGAGGAGCTGAAGGACTGATCACAGACTCGGTCTTTATGGCCTCTCCGACAGATGCTGAAGGAAAAAGTGCCACTAAACGCAAGACAACAAGACACCTCTAAACTCTGGAATCCCTAGAATCCGAATTCCCCGATAGCAAAACAAGACAACTAACCAGGTCGAAAATGCGAGCCTTCGGCAGATCGAAGTGACGATTCGCGGGCAGCCGCGTCCCTGGCCACGGCTGTCGCCATGCATGCAGCCTGTGAATTTGGGGCTCCAGTCCCCAAACCCCCTGCATTCGCTTGATTAAGAAAATTCTTCAATCCTTCGAGACTGATTCTTATGCAGACGAGTGTAATCGCGACTCACACCCACCAGCAGTGCCCGAACGACCATGATCACCGCTGAAGTCTTAAAAGGGTCTCTCCGAGTTGCGAACTGAGCCCCAAGCCTTCAACCAGGTTAAAGTACTCCTGCGTCGAAGCCTCGGCAGGCTTTGCATTGTCCCAGTGGCAATTCTTCGAATTGAGGCTTCGGGGCCGAGGAAACGGTTCAGGATGTTTCAGAAAGAGCTTTCAGGAAGACCTGGTGAGGTGTATACTCACCGCAGTGACGACAGGATCCATGGCCTCAGACAGATTTCCCCTTGCTGAGTGTTAGGCCCGGCCTACTTTCTTCACACTTTCCTTCGGTGCTCCGGCGCTGAATACATAGACAATACTCCGTCCCCAAGACCCGGAGGCGGAGCGATGTTCAGTATGAAATCACGGCCCAATGTTGTGGGGCTTATTGTAACCGGCGGATTTGGGGCTTGAGGGTCTGAGGTTTAGCGTTTCCTGAGCTTGAGATAAGCCTCACCCTAAACCTTAAATCCTCCCTAATATTCGGGCCATAATAATTACCTATATGATGTTAGGGGTTCTATGATTGTAGTATAATGGGCCCCAAAACCCTGTTCTAATGATTAAGGCCCCTATATTAGCCCCTCGAGCCTGGTCAGAGGTTCATGCGCCTGTATCACGCCGGCTCAGACCTGTGGAACCTGGCCTGGGTTGTCCGAGTTGTGAGAGCGTAAACCGCAAGAAAAACGATCAGCCATCATATGGGAGCCTTGATAATTAGAATAGGGCTTGGGGTATATTATATATGAGACCATATTTGTAATAAGGAGCCCCCAAAACCCTATTCCATTTATTAAGGCCGCTACATTAGCCTCACCCCTCAGGTGGCTGTTGGAAATCCTGCAGAGGTTTGGATCATCGGAGCCTCAGCAGGTGGGCTATCGGGACCGGAAGAGGTTGTGAAACTCCAGCGCGCTGCAGAGTTTTTAGGGGTTTTTAGGGCTTTAGCGCGGAGGAAGCTCGTAAAGTTTCAAGGCTTCGTCGCTACGTGCAGTTGAGCTCTCGCGCGAGGTCTTGCAAAATCTTGGCTGCAACACCAAACGGGCACGAGATTGGAACCGCACGGTCACTCTGACATAATGCTAAATACTGCAGACAAGGAGTCAAGAAAGTGATCCAAGCGAGAGCAAGCTTAAACAAGGAGGTAGACTGTGCTGATGCACGGGTGTGATCACGGGTGGGTAAGATAGCCGTGGCAGCTCCGATCTGCGAATGCGAAAGCGACAACTGCTACTCTGGGAGCTGCCGTTGTTACATGTTGTTACCGCTCCAATTCCGACCCTTCCCACTGCTGGAAGCTCGAAGGGCTATTGTTGGCGAATTGCTTCGGCTGCAGAGTGAGTTACTATCCTGCTCGGTGGCGCAGGCGTTGCGAGCGCCTCGCTCGCATGTGCTGCTGGTGGATCCGTTGCACCTTGGCTGCTGAGCAGCCGGATGTCGGTAGTCACGAAGGATGTCAGCTGCCGCTGCTGCTATTATACTGTTTTGACATCTCTCCTGAGGTTTACTCCGTTGCTGCCGATCGCTCGATGGAGGAGGCAGTGGCCCGATGTTGGGAGAGCTGAGGGCTGCATGATAAGATGCTGGCACGCTTGAGAATGCACATTATCCTTCTTCGTTGCCTGCTTGGTCCTTGCATGCAGCACTCCACTGTGAAGGTATGGTAGAAGGTATGGTTGGGGTTCCAGGTGTGGGATTCGCTCGCCTGGGTGCTATCAGGAGTGCAGCTTCTGCGGAGTCTTGCTGCCGGTGACGAGATTCCAGTCTTCTCGGATCCGATCTGCTTTGAAGTCGTACCCTGCATAAACCCTACAACAGAACGCAAAGCAGCAACTGTGCGGCTTCAGGGCTCCCCTTCCTACTGCGACGACGGCTAATGCTAAAAGATATAGGACCACGACCAACACGACTACATCGACGACTACCACGACGACTGCCGCTAGCGCTGCCATGGCGACAACGGTGGCGACCACGATCGTGATCACCATCATAGCAGAGCGAACTGGCAGCGAGATCAGAACTGCGCACGATACAGCCGGAAGTTGGCCTTTCTCACACGATGAAAACTATGCATTACGTACTCTTCTTGAGTTTCAGTGCAGTTCCCTCGGAGTGGGTCACGAAAGAAAGTCGATGCGCTTTCCCGGCCGACTAGTGTTGAGTACGGCATTTCTCAGGGATGTATTCGGTGTAAGCTTTTCAGCACGGATGCAAAAAGGCAGACACCACGGCAACATTGCTAACAAGACATGGTGGGCAATATTACGAAGATGTTCTCATATTTAATTCACAGTAACCGGACTCGCATGCTCGAATCGTAAGAAACACGACACATGCTGCAGGACTGTCGTAGGGAGAGTCGTGAAGCTCGAGATATACAAATGCCACGAGCAGTCACGATCATAGTCTATTTGGTGCTGCTGACCTTGACCAGGCAAAGTCCAGCTCCCGCGAGGCTTTCTTGGGACGAGGGGGCTGTGTTATTATAGGGGCCCAAATTGTTACCTATACTATTTTGGGGGCTCCTTATTGTAACTATAGTATAACATACCCCCAGAACCCTCTTCTAATCATAAAAGCCCTTACATGATGGATTGTAATTATAGTACAATGGGCCCCAAAACCTTATACTAATCTTTAAGGCTCCTGGCTTGTGTGCTGACGTACTGCTTTGAACATTTTGCCCCAGTCAGACCCTGCATCGTAGGTTCGTCCTAGCCCGGCGGGAGGGAAAAAATGGTATAACATACCCCAGAACCCTATTCTAATCATAAATGCCCCTACATGATCGAGATTTAGGGTTTTCCGTTTATCTCGCCACGAGTTCGATGTGCTACGAGGGACATTGGCCGGGCGAGCTCCAATCAAGCCTGTGTAAAAAGGGTTTTCTGTTTTGGGGCCTGCAGCTTCAGGGATGCACTCGCAGAGCTCTGGATGGCCACGGGACCATTCAACCCAAAGCCCCTTATTATTATTATTATTAGTATTATTAGTATTATTAGTATTATCAGCATGAGTAATATTAGCATTATTATTGCGATTATTATTACAATGATTATTGCTACCATTGTGACTATTTCGGAGAGGATGACCTTCCTTTGGAATATCTGGGCGAGTTGTGCGATGTTGAACGCCGCAAGGGTCTCATATGATTCCCCATGAAACTTTGGGGTACGAGGAAGATTTTTTGAAAGGGGAATTCGAGGTCAAGGACTTTCAGATGAAGCACAGAAAGCCCCAACATGCATATACTACCCTAACTGTGTTGTTCTGCCTTTCGGTCCTGGGTACTTTTGGGTTGATGATTGGCATAGACAAGTACGCCAAAGAAGCCCCGCCTGTCAGCATACACCTCAGCCATGCGAGAGGGAAAACAACTGTGCTGTTCTGACTTGGTGCTTTGCAAAAGGCCCTGAAGCCGAGGAACAGTCACGCGCCAGGTCTGCGGCCAAAGCGTGGAAGAGTGCGAGGAGATATTATCTCGAGCTGCGGCAGGCTCCCCAGCTTCTGGAGCTGTGGAGATTGAGAATTCCTGGTTGAGGTTTGGGGTTACTGGTCGTGTTCTTGGTTTGTCTTGTTTTTGTCAGGTTACCAAATATATGAAACATACAGAGAATCATGAAAACAATGACAAAAACAACAATAATGACAGTAATAGTAATGATAGTAGTAGTAGTAGTAGTAGTAGTAGTAGTAGTAGTAGTCGTAGTGGTAGTAGTAGTGGTAGTAGTAGTAGTAGTAGTAGTAGTAGTAGTAGTAGTAGTAGTAGTAGTAGTAGTAGTAGTACAACCCTACGCCGAGCCTTGAACCCTCTCTCACTTCTGCAGGGTTTGTGAC